AGTCCCATACGAGCTGAGATTGTGCCCCTGTGGACAAGGGGCTATTGAAACTACAGTACATATCCCACTATACTGTATTTTCTGTAAGGATTCACAGACCCATTTAATCACTCCTCATCTGGTAAAATATCCTGGAAATTCTGATCCTTTTTATGTGCGGTTGTTGCTAAATCAGAATGATTTAGTTTCCTTGAACGTAGCTAAATTTTGTTGCACTGTTTGTAAAATCAGGCAGATGTTGACTGCCCATTGATGATCCCACCAATCTGCAAAGATATCATTATGTTTAGTTTTATTTTGTTTTAATGTATTTTAATTCATTTTAATGAATTTCTCAACGTATTTTTGTTTGTGGTTCTGGTCTGTGACCGTAATAAAGATGATTCTGATTTCTGATGCCAAATACAACACAGGGCTCAACTGTTATGCCTCTGGAAATATGAAAGTTGCTAGAAGGTGCTTGATCAACTTGTTTTTGGCTTCTGTAGGGCTCAGCTATCCATGAGATATATTGTGGTTACCTTTGAGTACCTGTAATGGCTCTCTTTCAATAGAAATTATTTTATCTCACTAGAAGCATAACCATGACAAGGAGATGGCATCAGAATAAACAGCAAGTCTGTGAAAATCTCAGCATTTGTCTAAAAGAACAGTGGTTCAGTGTGTCAGGGAGGGACATGAGAAATGTAGAAGTGAAATGTGGTGCCATAAAGTAAGGGCTGCTCTAAAGCTTTAGTTATGTTTGAAGTTGCTTGCAGATTGAGTGCTTGTCACAGTATACCAGCTCTGACAACTTGAGGTTCCAGGGCCATAGCTAGAGTCCACCAAGCCTTGGGTACAGCACCAGACCCCTTTGAAAGTGAATACTCTCCCAAGTTGACCTTGATTTCATGCCCATGTGGTTTCCTTGGGAACAGTACAGAGATAGCTCAGTATTCCCTTCTTTTGGGGTGCTGTCTACATCTCAGATTGGTCCAAGGGCATTTGCTCCTTATTGCAGGCAGAATGGCCTCACCATCAAGCATGAAAAAAACAAAATAGGAGTAGGCACCAGTCCTGGAAAATTAATAGTATCAATTGATTTGTATCAATTGAACTAAATAATTGAAATACCTCAGTCTCTTTCTTAAATGCCTCAACATCCTGGAATGAACAGACAAGGATCATCTCTATGCAGGCCCAAAATTTCACCAACTGTCTTGTATTTTGCTAACCACAGTGGCAATAAGCATGTTCTGGCAACAGTTAAGATTTCCTAAACCAGTGTTTCTCAGCCTTGGCAACTTTAAGATGTGAGGATTTGAAGTCCACACATCTTAAAGTTGCCAAGGCTGAAAAACACTGTCCTAAGCAAAGGTCTTGAGCACACAGGTTTGCAAGTCACTCAGCCAGAATGTCCCAATGTGTAGCCAACTCTTCATTAAGACTGGAGCCTGTCTTGATTTCAATAAAGACCCATATGTGGCTCTGCCAAAATTAATCTGTTTCAAGACCCCTCCAGCCTCCCTGCCCCTGTGAGATAAATTTGTATCTTCATGGGCAACTAGGATAAATTCAGACTTAAAATCCTGTGGCTACTTTACTCAGCGTCTGAGCTTCATTGGCTTAAGAAAGCTCCATGAGAGCAGAAGCAGGGGGTCATAAACCAAGATCTTCCAAAAAATTCTAAGTTGCAGCCCAAAATTGAATAGCTCAGGCTTAAAAGTCCCTTCTCAGCAACCGCCTCTTTCACCCTGTGCAGAGGAGAGCTTTCACATTAGCTAGGTCAGATGTGCCACCCTCATCATTATTAAAGAGTTAATGGCATCCCTCGGTCCCTGTCCAGCTGGGGAAGTTGAGTCAGTTGCCCACATCTTCCTGTGCTCCTTCTGTTCGATCTTGAGCAAGGATTTAATTGTACCCTTGGCCAGGAGTATTCAGGAGAAGCCCTATTCCTTTCAGCAGATTTGTCTGGGACAGTCTTCAGGGCAGTGGCCAAATTCTGTTCAGCTCAACACGTGATTGTATAGCTTTGCTGCATAGAACAGTATAGACTTTATTGTACAAAGTTTTAATGTTTAACCATTTGGCAGCACTGGGTCTTTGTGGTTATCTGCAAAATGAATGTTCATTGATCAACTAATTTTTAAGCTAAAGCTCCTAAACATTTATCTCTTTCTATCCCTGCAACAAGTCTTCCAGAAAGGTCAGCACTACTATTACTGAGACTGTAGATAAGATTACTAAAATTCTTGAGAAATCACCAAGATCTGCACATTTTTTAAACAGAACCTTTCCTCTGGGCCTTTACTCAGAGGTATGCGTTTCTGGCATCAGTGAGATCTGCTTTTTGCAGTAGTAAAAGAAGGAATTGTATCTTTCAAACACTCTTCTGTAAGGAAATACTTTGATAAAAACTGTCTTTTATTGTAGGTGTCTAATTAGGACATAAAGATATTTCTGCAAAAATTGTAGTTTTGATCCGATTGAGTAGGTTAACTGGGATCTATTCTGTCAGTGAATAATATGCTAGGAAAGTTGTCTTGAATCTAGGAACTCCACTTTCCCAGGTTTGAAATGCATAGGAATTCTTCAGAGATTTCCTTCCTCCCAGTGTTGGCTCCTTCCTTGACTATAAGAAACTGACATTATTCTTTTTAGGTGCCTTGATTCTGCAGGAAATGTGAGCAATTGCTTTATAAATGTCTCCTGCACCATTTAAAACAGGAGCTTTAAGTCTTCCTTGGCAAAGAAGTGATTATTTCCCATAGAAAATCAGGAGACATCCAGGATGTTGCTGTAACTGTAATTGGGCATTGTGTATCAATCTCATAATGAAAAGTAGCAGGGAAGTCAGAAATCCCTGCTTATTCTAATTGGGGTCATAGTTCAAGAGAAGGGTTTGTCTGCTCTTGTAAGCTATTTAAAAATTACTCCATGCATTTGTATGAATGTATTTTAAGAGCACTTGAAATTAAGCATAATCATGGCTCTTGTATGTCTTTTCTCTCAGCTTTGAAATAAGTGAATACAGAGCCTATGAAATTCATCCTTCCCTCTTGCTTGCTTGAAGTCTTTAGACTGTGTGTGTTTCTCTAAAACTCTGTTGAGGCTATTGAGCCACAGAATTTGTGACAGCACATTTGTCCAATCAGGTGTGCCCCAGGTGATTCTTTGGACTTGTGAAGGCACTAGCCTGGATTTAAGCACAGTGCTTGCAAGCCTGTACATCAGTATTTTCAAGATGGCATCTTCTGGACATGTTGGGCTACAGTTCCCATGCTGAGATTGAAATTATGAGAATCCTAATCCAACATGTCTGGAAGATACTAGAAAGCCCAAGATGTGTTCTTGCTTTGGAACCTCAGAAATGTTGTTCCAAAAAATACCCAAATCGAATTCTGTGCTAGAATTAGGATGACCCATTGTGCTGTATTATAACAGACCTGCGAACATTTTTCAGTGCGTTTACTGGGTAAATTAATGCCAGGTCAACATTCTGTTTCCTAATGTTCTCTATTTGCTGAAATCTCATAATAATTTTGTTCATTTGCAAGTTCAGTTACCTGGCTGTTCTTTGTCCTTTCAAGTTAATCACTTGTGACTGTAGGGGAAATTACTAACCTGATTTTCCTCTTCCCCTTTCCTTTTGAAGCCGTGTGATTAAGACGGACATGGAGTTGGAAGTCCTTCGCTACACCAATAAAATTTCCAGTGAAGCTCATAAAGAGGTAATGGATCTCTTACAGTAATAATTTTTTGCTCTTGTGTAACAGCAGTTTTTTCAGAAAATGTTCTCAGCTACTTGAATTGCTTAGTAATAGAGTAATAAAGAGCTAGGATAGAACTAGGGAGATAATGTTCATCCTAATAGAACTACGTAATACATCTTGCATTGCCCTTGAACTTACTGTTGATGTGTGGAGAACAAAATAGTTCCATTTTGCGATCGGACCATTTTGAGAAAGAGAGAGAAGCCTCTTGTAGGATTTGACTTTACTTAGCACCATACAAAGCTACTGCAGTATGCCAGTGTATCTCCCCCAGCACCGCTCCCCCAGCCTTTTATGTTTCTTCTGCTGCAGTTCTCTCAGATCCATTTTTAAGTGGGAGCTTTTATCGCCTATAGAGTTTCCTGAGCCAGCTAGATGATACATAAGACATTCAGACATGCAGTTGTCCTGATGTTGCAAGACAGAGTGATGGAAGAAGAATTGCACTTATATTGTTGTTGCAATATAATGGGGAGAAACCTGACGGAATCTCTTGGTTTTAACTCCTCCTAGATTTCCCTGGATGCAACTACTTTCTTTACAGTCAGTTGAATCATGTTCACAATCTGTAACTCTAAGTCAGCTGCAGAAGGGTAAATTCTGCTTTTAAGGTTTTCTCAGGATCACACTGATGTCTGCAGTTTTTTCTTATTCTAAATTAACTGCAGGGGACTTGACAGGAACCAGCACCAATATGTGGGTAAATAGTTGGGATACTTTAATTCTTTGTCCCCAGTTCTGATCTCAATCCTGGTCATCTTCCCATCACTTGCAAATTGTGTTCACTTCAGTGGGGTGGGGCTAGCACATGATTAGGGTGATGCCATGAAGTATAGGTCACTTTTGTTTCCTTATTTCTTGAGCCAGCAAAGATCCTCTTCACACAATGGAGGAAGCAGTGACATCACTAGTATTGGCTATAATGTGCCCATAAGGGCTTTCCAAGTTTGTCTCTTCTTGCAGTAGCTTCTTTAATACATTCTTGACAATGCAGAATGGCCCCTGGTAGATTTAGCTCTATCTGAAGTTTTTGTTTGACCTATAAGAGCAACTTCGATCAGGTTCTTGAATTAGGCATTGAAGATGCACAAACTGTTGATTTAGGATGTCAAGAAACACACAAAAAAATGAGCTGTCTTGAAAACTCATTCTGGTTCAGGTCTCCTTTGGGATCTCTGGAACTTAATCACTCCGCTCTTGAGGTGCAAACCAGTGTTCCTGCTCTTTTCCTGCTGCTGCTGGGCCTTCGTTTGTTACTTTAGCTGAAGAATATCTTCAGTGATGCTCCCCATATAGTCCTGTTTATTCCAGGCTTTGTACCAAATAGTGTTCCAGGGTGGAGGCACTACTGCAGAGCTGTCCTACTTCTAAAGAATAGCCGAATTTCTTACAGTATATCTCATGTTTGTGACTACAGGTAATGAAGGCCGTAAAACCTGGCATGAAAGAATATGAGTTGGAGAGGTAAGTGCATTTTTGACATTTATGGCAAAACTATGGAAAAGCATTTCTAGGTTAACAGGAAATGCCGCAGATAAGGGCAAGTGACACTGATTTAATGGCAATTATAGGAGCTATTTCGAGGTCGTGCTTGGTGTATTACTTTGTTATACAGAAAAGACATTCCATCAATTTCCTTCATTTTATTAGATGACAATTGCTTTTAGGTATGTCTTAAAAGCTGGATAATTCTCTTTGCAGAGTTTTATGTAATTTACAGAAACAGTCCCTAATAGCTGTTATTAGTGTTTGATGGTATCCAATAAACCATCTTTTATGGGTGAAAATATCATGGTTATGCCTGTTACATTACACAGGTATTTATGGGAACCATAAAATGGTCTGGAGCTTGCTGCTTCAGTCTCTTTTAAAACTGAAGCAAATGTTGCTGATTCTTCTGTATTTCTATTCCCATCTGCTGTGTTAGTTTTCAATGAAATTGAAGATCACTTATCTTGCCTTGGACCACTCTGCTTTGCTTAATAGGACAAGTATGTGTGTAGCCAGACTGATGCAGCCTTGATACCCAATGCATTGTTGCATTCTTCCCTTTGCCATATGGCAATGGATTAAAAAAGTAGAACGTTTTAAACAGTTAAAGACAACTTAGGTTATTAACACAATGTGTTTTTATTGGCCTCTTTCTTGTATTGTGCTAATCCAAGGATTCATTAATCATGTTTTATTGACTTTATTGACATTATGGGGAGAGTTTACCAATAGTGGTAGAGCTCACACAACACACTGTTCACAAACTGCAGATGAAAAAGTACACAGTCTCTGAGCTTGCATAGAGTTTTAACCACAAGCAGACCATTAAGCCTTTGCTTAATATGCTAATCCATCCATTAATTTGTCCACAACATCTGTATGTATTTGTATATGAATAAAGCACTTGTTTTAGGAGATGGGAAAAACGTGTGTGTGTGTGTGTGCATGTGTGTATGGGAGAGAGAGAGAAAGAAATGTGGAGAAGAAAGCCATAAGCCATCCTCAGTTTTGGTAGATTTTTCATGTAAAAAATGACTTAAAAGGATGTCCCCAACTCAGACCTATCTTTTTATTCCAGCGAAATGTTTTTGATCCACTGAATTTTGCAATTTAATGGACTAAGAATTACAAATCTAGTAGAAAACAATACTTCTGACTACTGAATACTGAGGGAAGCAAAAACCAAAGCAGCTGGGGAAAAAAGGAACTGGCAGTGGGAGTCGTCGTGGTAGCTCTTAGGAGACAAAACTGCTGCACCCTCTAGAATGGGTTCTTCCCAGCTTGAGCCAACGGAGTGCGTTGGTTTCCCAGACATGAGTTATGGTTGGTCAGATGATGAAATGCCTAACAGGTGTATCTCCTTGCCAGAGGCATTCCTGTTGGAAGGACATTACACCAGAGAATTGATGCGCACATGCACAAACACCCTTTAGTTTTGGAGGAGATGGTATTCCTGCTTGATGTGTTTCTTGTGAAGGAGCCACACTGCAAAGCTGCGCCTTTAGCTCTTCCCTTAAGGCTTAAGAAGTGTGCCTTCTCTGTTGCTGCACCTGCCCTCTGGAACCCCCCCTCCCTGAGATACATGTGGCCCCCACCCTGACCATTTTTAAAAGAGCCCTGAAAACCTAGCCCTTCCCCAGGCCTTGGGTTACAATGAGAGGTGGGTTTGATTGCTTTTGAATTGGGTTTGTTCTTCCAGGTGTCTGAGTTTTTAATTGTATTTTAGGATTGATTTTACTGTGCATTGCCCAAAGTTGTTACAGAGCTTGGCAGCCTTATAAATGTAATAAAATAAATAAATAAAAATAAAAAATAAATGGATTCTTCCATTTTACCCCCTTTGAGGTAATCTCTTTGGTTTGGACCTTTTTCTGTCTGAGAAGATTGTATGGGCAACTTAGATGTCCTGAAACTACCAATCTCTGTGGGAGCTGGCACAGAAAGAAAAGGCTTTCCTCAAGGAAGTGAAAGCCAGGAACAGAGTCCAACATTAGCGCCACAGATAGCCCTGCAGTCTCTGTGCTGAGTCCCCCCACCTGCCCCTCTCCACTCTCTTCTTATCCAGCTTCAACAGAGACTTTCACATAATGGTTGAGATGGGTTTCTGATTTGGGAAAATCAAAGGTTCTGTTTTATTACATTTGGCTCCAGCATTTGAGGTGGAGAAACACCAGACCATCCCATTTTCTGTTTTCTAGATGAACTTGGTATGTGATAAAAAAAAAAAGGTTGTGCTTGATCAAGGGCACACTTATGGCTGTCCTAACTAAGTGACCTATGCATGACATTACATCTCTTTGGACGCTTGCAACGGGCAGCTCTTTGAAGTCTTTGGAAGCTACAGTTGGCCTGAATGCAGCAGCAAGAATGGTGGGGTTGGCAGAAGTACCCATCCTGCAAAGTATAAATCTAAGCGATCTTTTTAGTTTAGGGCCAAGATACCTAAGGGACAGTCTTCTCTTGTGTTACTCTTTCTCTCTGTGTGTGTGTGTGTGTGTGTGCGCGCACACACACCTTTGAATCAGTGTTGACTCCTGGTAACTGCATGGAAAAGTCCCTGCAGTTTTCTTGGCAATATTTTTTTTCTCTCTTCTTGCCTTCTCCTTCTTAGGGTTGAGAGAGAGGGTCAGGCACTGCAGCTCTTAAATCCCAATAAAAAGAAACATTCTCCAGAGACTCAGCAAGTCCAAAAAGAAAGTTAGTTTATTGAAGATTAACATACAGTCCTTAGCAATGAATTGCTGAAACTGAAAAGCCCGTGCAAAGCAATGCTTTCTTAACCCTTCTACTTGCCCCCCCTTTGCCCCCTCATTCTTTCTGGCGCCTTTCTCTGTTCTCGCGCCAGTACAGCCTTGGCATTCCTGAAGACTAGATAAGCCCAAGCCATCTGCACTAACCATTATGCCCGTAACTGATTTTACCCCCTCCCCACTATAACTATGGCAGAACTGAGCAAGCTAGCAATTACAATTAATCAACGGGGTTAATTGCGAGGTTCTGATGGAGAGTGACTGGCCCAAAGTCACCCAGCTGGTCTTTGTGCTGAAAGCAGGACTAGAACTCATAGTCTCCCGGTTTCCAGCCTGGTGTCTTAACCACTACACCAGACTTGCTCTGTGTTAGCCTCCTCACCCTCTGAGAGCTCTTGGCCGTCTCTGTGTCCCTATGTCTGTGCAGCTGGGTCACTTTTGGAGAGAACAGTGGATGCAGCTAAACTCTGAACCTCCTGTCTTGGAACAGGGATGTTTGCAAAGCAGAATCATACTGGTTCTAATAATCAGTCAGAATAGATTGGCTGAATAGTCATGTCTCACATCTTTGTATTTTCATGGGCCAATCCTTTTGACAGGTTACTGCTGATGAATGCTTTCTGTTCCCAAATTCACTTGAAAAATTTGGTTAGATCTGGGGAATTTGCTCACTTCTCCTTCATTCCCGCTACTTATGTCATCTTTTCTGAGAGTTCTGTGCCATTTTCATTGGTCCTAATAAAAATATTCTCAAGCTGACAACCAGTTTGAATGTGCTTGTGCTTCCTTTTGAGAACAGGCAACCTGCAGGTTCTCATGTCGGAGCAGGAATCTTGAATACCTTGACTCTCTTACAAGCTTTCATCCTCCCAGTATACTTCTTAATGTTGGGGGCCCTTGAGTGCATTTGTGTTGGTGAAAAACAAGATAAGAATAAATCTGACCATTATGAAAATGAAGGACAGATGGAGTCAGACCAACCCTCTCTAAACAGGGAGGCCAAATAGTTGCTTACCTTGGGCAGGAAGGAAAATGAAACACAAAGTCTGAACATTCTTTTTGTACATAGGGCCTGATTTTAATCCTAGCTGAAAATCTTTCTCCTTTCTTCAATGAAATGACTTACTTGAAGTTCCTGGATTTCTTGTAAGCTGTAATGGCTCATTCTTGCCTGCGGGGTAAACCTGGCACAAATTAAGGAATGAGAAGGATGGGAGAGAGCTAACTGCCAAATGTTGGCAGGCATTTGCCAAGTCCTTCAGACTGGCTTGGGAGAAAGTCTGCTTCGTTTGTCTTCCCCTCATTTTATTTCCTTTTGTGAGTGACTGCCATCTGGATGATTCCAAACCAAACCTATGGAATTCACTGTAACTATTTGTGACTCTGTGGCATAGTTAAATCCACAAAGACTCTTTTGAGATTATTGCTCTTTCTTATTATAGACTCTGAAAACTCAATTGGGAAGAGCTGACAATACTCTGCACCGTTAAGTCGCCATAAATAATGCCAAATCAATAGAACAGAAGGATGTCAGGAAGCTGAGCTGGGTGTGCAAACAGTCCTCATTTATTATGGTTTTTAAAATTTGATGTTAGGGAAAGGTTTGCTTGACTGTTAAAGAATGAACTGACTGCCTTTTCACAATGCCCATACACAGTAAAAAAATAGTGACTGCAGTTACCCTTTTTCTGTTTTCACACAATGCATAAATTAATCATTTGGGTTTGGTTTGTGCATGCTAACCTTCAAAAAGCCAATATTAACCAGGTTAAATTTAATAAGTGTGCCATATTGTGCAAATCTAAGCCTACTTATGTATGTTGCTTTAACACAGTGTTTTTCAACCCTGGCAACTTTAAGATGTGTGGACTTAAACATCTTAAAGTTGCCAGGGTTGAAAAATGCTGCTTTAACACATCCTCTGTGTGGCTGTCCAACTTCTGCTTGAACATAGCTGGTGAACAGAACCTGATCCCTTCTATGGATCATTGCTTCCTTTGTTGAATTGTTTTTACTCTTGGAAAGTTTTCGCTAACATTTAACTGGAATCCACTGTCTTGTATCTCGAGGCAATTGTTTTGTATCCTGTTCTCTGAAACAATAGAAAGCAGGTAATGACCGTGTGATTCAGGTTCTTGAAGAATGTTCTTGTATTACTCCAAGATAGCTAATTCTAGTGCTTGAAATGAATTGGCCAAGGCAGTAGAAAATGGTAAATTTTCA